GTGGGGCAATGAGGGCTTGTTTCTCATAATGCTGTATCACTCTGGCACCCAACTGCTTATTGAGCAGCAGGGTGTCTGTATGCCCCACTCTGCTCCTGTTGGGCATCTTCGCATGTACTGCTGGCTTTCAGGTGTTTGTATCTCACAGGGAGCTTTCTCTGAGCTGAAAATCCTTTTCCCAAAAAGGAACGAGTGATACTCTGGTTAATAATTTCATCTGAGCAGTACTTGAAGGAGGTTGGGAAGGCAAGAGCATTTTGAAGCACCTAATGTTTGTAAAGTCTCCACAAGCACTGTATGTCAATAGTCTATTTGCCTACAGGTAATTTTTGTTTGTTTTTATGTTTCCTGTTCAAACTTGAGTAACCAACCTCTTGCTCAAGTAAACACACCAGATGGGTTTCTTACGTGGAGACTTTCATGTAATGGACTGGGTGCTTGGGTCTTCTTTTGTTTAAAAAAATCAAATTCTATCTTTTCAGATGAATGGGTTAAATTTCTCTAAGTGTTTTAAGCCCACATCTTCCCCAGGAGGTGGCATTTTCACCATATGTGCACATTGTTCTTTTGGTTTTGTAGGTATCACTTAGGCAGCAGAGTTTGTTAAACTGAAGAGGAATCAGAGGTGCCCAGAAATTGGTGTGTTCATGTGGGGTTACCCAAGGAGCTGTGTTGACATACTTGGTTACGTGTGACAGATTAAAAAAAAGTCTGTGCAGTCAAGTTGTTAATCATTAATTCCCTATCACTGGGGATTAACTGCCTAAGTCTATGAACCTGAGCTTATTAATAGAAACTGTTCTTATCCATTTTAGTTCCCTGCTGTTCAGCAGAGCTGCAAGTTGCATCAGAGGGACAGAAGCTCTACAGATTGAGAAGGACAGCATTTTTTGCATATATATACTAGAGAGCTAAAAATGATAAAAGCAGTATTGAGGAGTGACTAAGCACACAGTATGCAGCAGTCATGTGCTTTGTGTTGTGCAAGGCTGGTTACCTTTCTGGAGCTTAGGATAGGACTTGTTCACAGGGACATTCCTGCTGCAGATTTGCTTTGCATCCCCTGTAGCTGCTGGCATGGATGATCACAGTGAGCAGATTCACCACCCTGCTGGCCTGACCCAGCCTGCAGGTCCCTTTGTGCAGCTGCCATGCTTAGGATGTAGCATGAGGAGCTGTAAGGGGCTGAACAGGTGTCTTCTGTCTAAGGAAACTAAAGTTGGTAACTGCCTGTGCTTACAGCTGCCTCCACTCATTTGGTACAGGTCCATGTCTGCCTGGTGCTGCAGAGATCCCAATTTGTAGGGCTGCAGATATCAGTGTGGGGCTTTGTCTGCCCTTAGGGTGTTCCTATGGGATCCAGGGAAGCAATGTGTTGTGAACAGGCCAGGGGAGTTTTCTTGGCAGACCAGAGTTGAAATGCAAATGCAGATAGAAGAGTTCTGCGTGATTCAGTGAAGCTGTGTGAATTTGTGACTCCTGCCAAACACCACAGGAACTGCATAGTTGAAAATCAGTGTGGCTCTATGAAAAATGCATATCTTCATTGCTGGCCTTCCATATTGTGTGTTGCCTGTTTAACTTCTGTTGTTTCTCTGAGTTAATTGAGCTGTCTGTGTAGAGCAATACAGAAACCACATTGGCTTATTTCAGATAAACATGTCCTAGGTGGGCACTACCAGAACTTTGGAAATGAAATCCGGATGAAATATAATTCAGATCTCTGCATTTTGACTTCACAGCGGGTTAAAAGAGAACAGTCTTCTCAGCATGGTGGTGTTTTGTCATCTAGACTAAATCCTGGCTCTGGCATACCTAGGAGATGCTTATGGAGATTAGAGTTTCAAATTTTAGATGCATGCATATAATGCTTGTCTATATAGTGACTTTTTTCACAAGTGATATCTTCCTGGGGAACACTTTACATTTTAAATGTACCCATTCTGTTTGTGCTTAGTTCTAAAGCTGTGATTGGAAAGCCCTGCATTCTGCACTGAGCCTTTTTTTGTGTGGTAGGCATGAGCCAGGGCTCAACCTGAGGAGTGATGGATGAGTTCAGGATGAGAAGGGTTTTTAAGGATGTGGAAAGCAGCACTTTGTGCACAGTAGGTATTAAGGAACAGAGCTTCACCTTAAACAGAAAGTGAGGATATCTTTTGTTGTTTTCTTTTAAGACTAAATAGAGTTAGGGTACTATGTTAGGCTGTGGTTGGACTTGATGATCCTTGAGGTCCCTTCCAACCTGAGTAACTCTATGATTAAATCAAATCTCTACAGATAAGATCCTCTTGAAATTCACAGCAGAAGTGTTGTCCTTCCATTTGTTGCCTGTTCCTCCAAGCCCAATGTGTGCTTGGCATGCTCACATCCTCCTTGTGCTCACAGCCCCTCCTGGTGCTCTGCCCTATTTCCACACCTGTCAGGTCTGTTCCAGGTGCTCATCCCTGCCTGCACACAGCCACGTGTTGGGGTGACTGTCAGCCCAGCATTTCAGAGTGTAATGAGGTCAGCTGCTGGCCCTGGGCAGCCTGCCTGTCTGCCTGCTCTCCAAGGAAATGCTGTGTTGATGAAGTGTGATGATGATGGTGCTGATCTTAAAGGTGCTGTTGTCAACATCTCCTTCTGTTGAACATATGCAATATCTCACAGATTGCAGTTTCTCAAGTGAAGAGCTTCCCTTCCTTTCTTGCAGTTCTGGGCTCAGGCACCCACAGAGAGCTCTGGGCCCTTGTGATCCCCTCACAGATCTCAGGTGCCTTCTATTGTGCCTGATGCTGGCTTGCTTCAGCTTCGTCTTCAAACTGCCTCTGCTGTGCTTGTCTCACAAATAAGCCATAAATAACGTTTCTCCTTCTTTCTTTCTGCTGTATCATAAACAAACTTTCCACGTGGTCCGAGTTCCCATTTTGAGTTGAAAGTCTTGGTGTTGCAAGAGATGCATGTGGAAGGAACGTGAAAATGGCCATCACTCTTTATTTTGAACAGGTGTCCTAAATCCACTCTGGGTAAACAAAATTAATGTATTTGGAAGCCTTTAATGATGAGTAACAGAAGAGCTGTAACACCCACTGTGATGTTTGTGATAACTGGATTACAGTGAAATGCATCTGTCATTGCTGCTCGCTTTCTTTGGTCATACAATGTTATCCCAGAGATGTTGGGGGTTGATGCAGAAGGAGGGGGAAAGTCACAGCAAATCTGTGCTGCCAATTCAGGGTATTAACTGTGATTCAGAGGATCAGAGTTCGTTGCCACATCAGCAGTGTGAGGTGAGTGCCTCCGTGGCAGGAATGTTCTGAAGTCAAATGATAAAAGTAGCCAAGGTGGAAAACATTGTGTTTGTGTCACACAGAGAGTTTCCCAGGGTGGTTGTTGCAAGAGGTGGAGGCTGGCTGCTGCTTGTGAGCTCCATGTTTGGTTAGAAAAATAGAAGGAAAAAAAAAAAAAGAAATTGTGACTACTTTAACAGGAAGAAAAAAAAAGTTCCCCATTTGTGTTGTGGTCCTAACAGGGAGGGGGGCAGATCAGAGCACAGCTTCCAGCTGCACGACTCAAAGTCCAGTGGCATAGTTGGTAAAGTAATCTTCCAGTGACCTATTATGCCTTGGATGCTGAACGCAGCACAGTGTAACAGTCCCATAGGTCATTAGTCTATTTTTAGGGAGTCCTTAATCTGCAGAGCTCTGAATTTTGGAAGCCTTTAATCCATTGATCCCTACCAGCACTCCAGTTTTTCATGCTAGAAAAAAAAAAATCCATATGTAAAGCAATTGCTGCTCTACCCCCAATTGAAATCTGAAGCAACTTTAACTGTAAAGAAATATGTGACAGATAATTGCTTTTATACTGTGAAACAAGGCATTGTTACTACTGCAAG